GATAAACACAAAAAGGATTAAAAGCACAAGTTTAACTCAAAAACATAACCAAATCATAAGCTAGAAGGGTACAAAATGATATGTAAATATGCACCGATCAATGTACAGCCTAACATGTGTGGATGCTTGAAAATCGGCTCCCATTCTTCATTCTTGAGGATCTCTATCACACATACATAATAACTGACTCTTTTAGGAATTATTACATGACAGGACCCGCCCCGAATTCCTCTGAAATCGGGACGAATCCTGTGGAGTATAGCCGACTATACTTTTTAAATATATTCCTACCAACATTGCACTCGCAGAGGACGGAACTTGCACTCGCAGTCACTGCTTCGTCCTCCGGGTTCGGCATCAAAAAAAGGCCCAACCCGCCTAGCGACCACCTAGCCTCCTAGCCGCCCACCTAGGCCAATTTTTCAAACACTGTGATTGACTGAAAGTCTTAAACCCAAAATTGAAAAAATTTAGCTGCAAATTTGAGCTTGAGATTGGGAAGCCGAAGCAGTGAAGCACAAGTTAGGTCCATAGAAGAACAGATCATGAGACTCTTAATTCATCTAATTCAATTGCTCTCCCTGTTTCCCGCCTTATTCTCTTCTCTCTTCCCACTGAAGACATGGAGCAGAAGGAACAAATACAAATTTGCTGACTTGGTGTCTGTGTTCAGTGGAAGGAAATGATGAAGTTGTCCTATCATTGGAGTTTCTATGGTATTGCCAATAACAAGGTTTGGTTTTTAAGCAGTTGTAGGATGAAAGTGAAATTTTCTGTATGATCAAAAGAAGTACAAAGCTACAAAAACTTGTTGATGCTTTGTGTACCACCGTTCCTTGGATCCTGAATCCAGGGCCGGCCCTGGGGGTAGGCAAGAAGGGCCTTGGCCATGGGCCTCCAATTAAGGGGGCCCCAAATTTTTTTATATTATATATATATATTATTGTCAAACTTAAAAAAAAATATTTAAAAAAAAAACAGTCAGCGATGTAATTGAATGAGGAAGGCTATTCCTCTTCCCATCCAGAAGCTCTTCGTTTCCTACGCTACGCAGCCAGCAAGAGCAACAGCCCCTCTCCTAGTTATTTCTCCATGGAACTCTATTTAATCTACTGATCTCTTAATAATCCACCATCATATTTTTCCTATGTTTTCCCCATCTCCCTTCAATTCATATCCTTTATTTTCAGTTTCTCTCATCCCTCTTTTCTCATATCATATTGTAACCCTAAGTTTCAATCTCACACTAAAAAGCTCACAAATTGTCTTTGAGATTGATGGTGACCAAGAGGGGAGGAGCATGAGAAATTGAAAAGGTAATCAGATTTATAATTTTTTCTTTATATTTGTTCCTACCCAGCAAACTATTGTTTCAATTTCCAATAGGAACAAAACACAGAGAGATACGGAGTGGTAATCAGATTTATGAATACTTGATTGAATTGCATGTATCTTATCATTGCAAATGTACATGAATTAGGTGGAGGAACGGAGTGGCAATCTTAAGGGAAATGGTTTAGTATTTTGAACAAAAACTTAGTTTTAATGTATCTTGACATGTTCCCATTTTTGGTTGCTGGAATGTTGGTTGGTAAATTTGTAATTTCCTTCATGATATTAGTTTTAATGCATGCTACCTTTTTTATTTACACTCTACGCTCTACATAAAATCATTTTATTTGTTGTTTTTTCGCAATTGTATATTACGGGAAGGGGCCTCATTTAGTTTATCGCCTAGGGCCACCCAAAAGTCAGGGGCGGCCCTGGGTTTCTCAAGAAGACTTGGGCGATTGTAGCTCTCATGATTCAATTATTCAACCAATAATAATTATCTGGGCACTGATTGATATTTTAACTTCTTAAATTTCAACTGATGGGATAGTATTTCATTTGTTTATCTTTCGCGCTCACTGTGAATCTCATACAACGAATAAGAATTGTCATGTATATGTGACAAGTCAACTAATATTAACTTATAAATTTGTGTATTAAGAGGAGACTATTCAACTTTGAGTTAGCATGAATGTTAAACTAAGAATTTCTCCTTTGTCATTGGCTCATTATCATCTCCGTTGTTGACCTACATACAAAACCCTATTAGGGATATTGGATGGGTCATCATGACCCATTGATTTTGATCAAGTAAATTTTTTATAGCAAATCTTGATCAAGGAGTTGACGCCGAAATCTTTATAACTGAAAATAGCATATATATGTAAAAAGCTGGAGATCCTAATAAACATTCATATATATATATATATGAATAAGTCTCTTTCGAAATACCTGCCCCTTATATTAATTACCATGAATTATTTTCTTCGTATGGGTGTATAGATTATATTATCGTGCCGTAATTCCTCATTGAACGACATTTTCCACATTATTCACAATATACCTCTTACGTCCCTTTTGCTTGAGCCATAATTAAAGAATAATCCAAGTTGTGGTTCCAAATGTTAGTATTTAAAATACCAATCCTTGTCCATCACACAAAAATTCTTTGTTGAGTATCCAGAAACAATGGTAATAAAGCTGAATTCTTTTCTTCTTCTTCTTTTTCCATTGTAGACATGGGCTTAGCCAAATTGGTTAGAGCGGATGTGCTCCCTACTTTACACTCGAGTTCGAATCCCCTCCTCCATGGTTTAGATTAATTTAAAAGATGGATATTCTTAAAGTCTATCACCACCAGCCCCCAACCTCATAAAAAGATAAAAGGATCAAGAAAAGGAGCATGCATGTATCAAATTTGTGGATCTCAACTGATATAAGCAGTATTTCGTTTATTAATATGTATGATCATTTTGAATCTCATTTATTTCTAACAAATAAAAGTAAATAAGGAGTTGAAAATTTTGAAAATAGTAATATGGATATGAATATGTGATCATGTATAACGTTTCCAATATGATTTAGGATTTGATTTGGAATATTTAAATTTATGTTATGATGGATTAATTATATTTTGGACTTGTCTTATATGCATATAAAAGCCCTAAACATAGGTAGGTCGTATAGGTGCAAATGATAGCAAGCATCTCCCCAATTCTTTTTTGTTTTGTTTTGACATCTCTCAAATTCCATATTCGATCTGTAAGGAAAAAAACGAACGTTTGATAGGTGTTTTGAAACAAATCAATGTACAATATTCTCGAATTAGATAATAGGGGAAGCGATAGTTACATCTCACCCTACAAGTCATGTTCAAGAGTTGTAGGTGGTGGGGGTGTTCGATGGAAAAGCAAAATAATAACCCAATATTGGAGATTGCCCAATGCTTTTAGATATAGGCATATTGATGGCAGTGGCACGAGTGATAGCTGAGTCACATTGTGTCCCATTTAAATCTTGTCATTTCGTATCCATGTTGAATACTAAATAAACTCTAAACTCAACCTAGCTATTCAATTAATCGTATCATATTACTCAACTCTAGGTTGTTTTTATTTATTTATAATATACCAAAGAAGCGAGAGTAGTTTATTAGATCAATTGAAAAAGTACATAGAAAGCTATCTTGATTAGTAATACGATGGATATGGGTAAAGCTTCCTGAGTGACGAGAAAACCAGACAACAAATTTACATCAAGGATGCTAACCGGCATAACTCTCCTAGAGAAACTAGACCGCTCAACAAATTTAACAAAATTTCTGGGAATTACAAGAGAAAACCAGACAACTCATAGAGTTTGTGGACTTTAATAACAAACTACACCAAATCTAAGAAACCAAACAACATCGACTAAAGGAGCATCAACACTTCGCTGTACAAATGATGCATAACCAAAGGCATCCAGATCCATAACACAGACAACCAGATTTTGCAAGAGTAGAGAAGAGCATCATGGTCTGCCAAGGCACGAGAGAATACTGAAAATTCGACGGGGAATAAACCCTAGACTAGATATGAAGCTTCTAGTTCTAACTCTCCTCCACCCTCTGCTACACACTTTGATGTGAAAATCAATAGAATTAGAGCCAGTAATAACCAAGTCTGCAAAAAAGAAAAACAAAACAAAAAAACAAGAAGAAGAAATTTGCAAGAGGAAAACAGTGGCAAGGAAGGTGAGAGGAGCATAATGGAGGGGGGATGGGAAGCCACTGACCCCAAAGGCGGGAATGACTCCTAGGGTTTCTTCGCTTGTCGCTCGAGAGAGATTTTTTGGAGTGCAATTCTTAGTGCACTTAACTCAGCTCTAGTTTGGCAGTTTTTTTAATATAATTTAAGCTCCTATTTTTGGTATATTAGTGAAGCTCCCTAGTTTTTAACCATGCACTCTTTATAAATTAAAAAAAAAAGGAAAAGAAAATCGATGTGGTCTTAATATACCAAAAAATAACACATAATTCTATAACTCAACGAGAAGTCGTAAAATACCATATCAAAAAATGAAAAAAGTTAATTAGTCTTCATTCAATACGAGTTAGATAAGTTTGTTGTGTCAAAATCATGTTAGTTTTATTCTACATTAGCTAACGCGACGTATTATTATTGTTTTTAACTAATTCTGTTTGATTATAAATTTCAGTTATACATTTACCTTAATTGTCATCGTTAGCTAATCCTTATCATGTCATTTGGGGATTTTGTAGCCGCCCAACAAATGTCATATACAAAAGTGACTTCAACCAATAACCACCACCCATACGACCTAACGACGGCTGCAAGTGCAAGGTACCCAGAAACTTCCGCTAACTTTTTTAATGGACGGGAAAGTCAAGTATCTCTTTTCCCTTTGCTAAGTCTCTTACCCTTTGAGGTCTCCCTTCTTTTTTCTGGACTCATCTCTTTTCAGTCACTCTCTCTCTCTCACTTTGTTTTTGGGTTTTTAAAAAAAAATTATTTATAGAGAAATGCCCTTTTCTATCTTTTTTCTCTCTTTTTCTCTTCTCTTCTAGAAGACTATAAGACTCCAAATATCATGTCGCTTTATAAAAACTCCAAACAAAAAAGTTAAATCTAGAATTAATATTCCAAGAAATCATCGACATAACACCTTCCCCTCTCTCTCTCTCTCTCTCTCTTAATATTGTACCCTTTTATGTATATATTCCCTTTGGTCTCTTCGAAATATATAGAAGCCATTCTTCAACACACAAACCCATTCTTCTCCAAACCCCCCATACCCTTTTCTTCATTTCCTTCATCAACTCATCAAAAATGGAAGACGATAATTACATTGACCATCTCCATTACCAAGACAAATCAGAAGAAGAAGAAGATGCAGAAGAGGCACTCTCTCTATGCGACCTTCCACTAGACAATACCCATGACCAAGTCCACGAATTCCACGACATGTCGTCTAAGCACCTACAAGCTCGTCGTTCCTCCTCCGATCAGTTATTCGAGTTCTTCAGCGACATCAGCTCCGACAGCTTCATGTGTTCCGCCGAAGACATCATCGTCTGCGGGAAACTCATACCCTTCAAACAACACATGACCGAAGTCCCCAAGGCTCCTCAGTTATTTGAGTTCTTCAGCGACATCAGCTCCGACAGCTTCATGTGTTCCGCCGAAGACATCATCGTCTGCGGGAAACTCATACCCTTCAAACAACACATGACCGAAGTCCCCAAGGCTCCTCGAAACACTAACGATTCTCACAAGAATAAGCAACCATCTTTTCGAAGGCGGTCCGAGTCGCTTTCCGAGTTACAAAGCTCGGTGACAAGATCGAGCAGCTCAAAAAACCAGATCATGATGAGGAACAGCCGATCATTGGACTATCGAAAGCTTCACCGGCAATCTTCGATGGTGTCGCCGACGCCTGGGGAGATGGAGAGGAATTCTTCGGTGAGGAGCGTTGGAAAATCCGATAAGGTCAAGAGTGGTAATAATAAGCCGAAGTGGTTTTTTCTTATGTTCGGGATTGTGAAGTTCCCGGCGGAGATGGACCTCAACGACATCAAGAACCGGCAGATTCGGCGAAACCCGTCCACCACGATGTTTCCACGACAAGCCGCTGCCGGGAAGGGCTCTTGGAGACTGCTCAAGGCATTGAGCTGCAAGGACCATGCAAGTGTTGCCGTAACGACGCCGTTTTGTACACAAGTGTGAGAGGCTCTACTTCTCGTCACGTGCCATGCATGTGCTGAGCCATCATAACTTTGTTCCCTTAACTCATGAATAGGATTATACGATTGAGGTATTATTCTTTTTATCATACAGTGTAACATGTTATATTATCGAATTGTCATGTGCTGAGCCATCATAACTTTGTTCCCTTAACTCATGAATAGGATTATACGATTGAGGTATTATTCTTTTTATCATACAATGTAACATGTTATATTATCGAATTGTCAATTCGAATCACATCTTTAAACAAAATCTTATTTTATTAACTATTAAAGATTGACAGTTTGATAATATAATATGTTCGATCGGTTGTATGATAATAGAATATTTTCACTACAATCAACATGGAGTTTGGCTTGATCAAGGTTTGAATATGATAATGATTTTGATTTGCATGAGAGGGGCAAAATGGTCACCGGAAGTTATGGGTTTGCTTGGACGTGGGGATAAATTACTATAATTATGGTTGATGACGTTCCGTAGAAGCAAGGACTAAGTACAGTAGCAAAGCCATGGTTGACGATGGTGCCCTCTCTCACTCTAAGTGGTAATTGAGGATGAAGCAGGTTTTGGTTGTTAGGTGGCCGGTGCGCCCACAGAAATGAAATGAATGAAAATCACGAGAGCCCCGATTACGACATTAAATTCTCATGTTTTTTTTGTAATTTTGTTTTATTTATTTTGTTAATTTGATGTGAATATTTATGTGACGCTCATAAATATCAGTTTCGGAAATTATTATTATCGATTTTATTGATATTATATTTGTGATTTTGTGGAATTTGGTGGAGGGTGATATCATGATAAATATACTTTATCATATAAATCCATAGATAAATACAAGAATTTAATTGATTTATTGTTTTACTTTGTAATCTCAACCTTATAATCATCATTAATGAATAAATTAAAACGTTTTAATTAGTGAATCTTGTACAACCACAACAACTGCATGAAGCTAAAAGCAAAGCTTTTTAATATATTTTTTTAAAATTCTAATTATTTGGTTGTTATCTAAATGGTTGGATTCTAGTGCTTAGTGGAATATATTACCAATGATGTATTGATAAGGACTGGTGACTTAATAAAAAGGGAATTTAAATGTCCGCTAAACAGAATGTTATCCTTTTGGATACTTCTTGTGAACACTGTTAGGCCGACACCCAACTTATTTAATATATATATGTTTATAAAACGTTGTACCACATGTTCAAAAGGCAAGTTGGCAATTGGGTTATGAGAAAATACTGATATGAAGTCAGAAGCACAAGGATTTTAATCATTTAGTATGTTTATAGCTTATAATATCAAGAAATATTCTATCAACAAACATATTTGTAATATTATCAGTATTCTGCAAGGGATTTGTAGTTTAAGTGGATGAGATTCCTACCCCTGAACCCATTCATGAACTTTTGATTGTATAACAAGACTAAAATCAGTAGCGTAAATCATTTCCCTGATTACGACATAGTGCATAACATGTTAAATAGCTACAGGTTCAGGAACTTTGCTTGTATAACAAGACTAAAATCAATAGCGTAAATCATTTCCTTGATAACGACATAGTGCATAACATGTTAAATTGCGTCTAGCTAGTAAGATATTATGTTATAGCTTCAAAATTGGAGGAATAATTCGTGTAATTGTGTTCGTTTTGGTGCGATCTTTGGACTAAGAATTTTATTCACCATCATCGACCAAGTACCTATATCTAAGACGTGAAGAACATGCATCATTGATAAAATTATTATATGTTTGAATTAAAAGAGGTGAAGGTATGATGATGTGGATTATTATATTGTTTCGTCTGACTCATCCCTTTCTGTATTTGCAAGCAATGAATCTAAATGGTTATGTAGAATCATCATCAAGTGCTACTTAATTGTACATGTAGTAGTCTATTAACAATGGAGAATACTAAATCTAAACTATTAAAATATAATGTTGTCGAACCATTTTGGCAAAGTATGTTGAATATGGGAAAATCCAAGTTATTATTGTTTATAGCCTTGTTTCATTGCATCCACTTATTTTCAATGAATGCTAAATAATTATATTTTAGCATGCGAAGCAAATAAGCATTAGTAGTGCACTGTGCTAAAAATCATTACAACAAATATTATATTGTCACCACTGCCAAACCTATGATTTTTTTTAAATTTATTTTTATAGAGGAAGTAGTAAATTTTCATTAAATTATCAATGGTTATAGATCCGAACGAACAATCGTGACTTCATTAAACTTAGCTCAGAAAAATCCAGTGAGACAAAACCTAAGATGGAGGAAAAAGAATGCCAAACCCTATATAATTACTATGTTAATGGAAGTGAATGGAAAATTGAAACCCAATATACACCATTTATATGGTCCATATGTTGTACGCTGATGCCATTTGTGAAGTGTTCCACCAATAGGTTGGGAATCTTCCATGCAACACATTAATTGATGCATGACTTTACGAATTGATCTAACCCTTGGTTAGTAAAGATAAGTGCAAATGCAGGACTTAGAAACCCTGATTTCTTCTTCGCAATTAAAGCCTGAAAATCTTGTCAAGGGCTGTCGAGTTTTGAATTTTTGAAGGCCGGCTGATGATTCTAGATCATGTGCTGGAGGTTTGACTTATTGCATTGACTCGCTGTAGCTAGCCTTATTACGAAGACGTAACTTCGTCATGTGTGTTATCCCATTGTACAAATATCTTTGTAACAAACCTATTACGGGGAACTTATTTTAGTTTTGTTAAATAGTATGTGTGAACCGGGTCTTGCCCAACGGAAAGGGCATTGACTTGCAGATAAGTGGTTTAAGATATGAACTGCTCCATGGCATCCATACAGTGTGTGTGTGTGAGAAAACTCCCATCCCTCAATATCGCTTGTATAAAAAAAATATATATATGTATGATCATGAACCGAAAAATAATGCAAAGTAAAATGATTGTATTAGCATTTGACAACACTACACCAGTCTTAAAACTATTATGTATTATTGCAATTTTATCCCCAAAAAAAGTATAGATATTCTCAAGAAAAGGCAATACGTGTGTAATTTGGCCACACGTATGATAATATAATTTTAATTGATAACATTTGCAACATCATTAGCCAAAAATAGGTTTACTCTAAGTTACGCAATTTCATATTTATTATTGTAAAATGAGACAATACATGGAGTAGGTGAAATTTAGAGGAAAGTAACTAGACACTAGAAAAAGTTAATTGGTGTGATGTATGTTGGTCCATAATGTTCACAAATATGTGTCTTACGTTCGAAGTTTTGTTGGATTGGGACCCACTCAGATGAGGTCTTGCCACTGATGGGGGGAAATTGGATGAACCAATGAGTTTATGACACCTGTCCTCCAAGTGCGATATGCAATTTAAACTGCAACACAAGTTAGCAACAGATCATTGTCTCCATACATTTTGGCAGCTATTGATCACAAGCTTGTTAACTTTGATCAGCATTGAAGGCTACATGTATGTGACTGTCCCTAGAAGATGTAAAATCCACTTGAAGGGATTTGTAGCTCAAGTAATTAAGAGCGTTTACCCCTACACTCGAGGTTCTAGATTCGATTTCTCCCTACCCTCGATATCGCTTGTATAAAAATAAAAATAAAAATCTTCTGAGCAATGATCCATTCCTCACCAAGAAAAGAAGGCAATCAAGAAAAATAGACTCCTCATGCACTACTTTGTCTGTTGCTAGCTCATACCCTCCCAGTTTGGTTAGTGTAACTGTTGAAGCACGTCGTGGTCCCAGAATTGATTTCAAATGGTTCCACCAAAACCTCAGAGACACTTCACTCTACAGGCTTGGAAGATAAGAATCACAACATCGTCGTCGAACAAGAAACAAGAAACATGGGAGAAAGGGAGGAAAACTGTCACTGATAATATTCCACTCGGTACTCGGAACGCCCAAGATTCACAGATTTGACAAATGCTATCAGTTTTAGAAATTGAAATGCCTACAGAGAGAGTTGCTGAGGGGTTTTTTTAGAGGGAGTTTCTTAGATGGTCACATTGTTATTAAGCTTATTTAACCTCATAACTTGTGTTAATATTGATTGATCTTTTATTTTTTATTTTTGGAGTCGTGCTTCTATTGTATCTTTTTGTTTATTTCCAGGATCTAGATATTTATAGTACAATAATTTGAGCGACATGAGAGAATCCGAGGACAAACATGGACAAAATGTCCCATAGAGGAAAGTACATTTGTAGCTTGATCATGCCCAACCCTACTTTGAGTTACTAGTCATTCGTCGTCCATTCTACCTGCCAAACTCGACCATGCCCACCCGAATTTGAGTTACTAGCCATTCGTTTTCTGTTTTTCAGTACAGAAGTTCCCACATGAATCCCAGCATATCATGAGGGTTCTTCCCATGCGAAAGTTGAATTACAAAGTACTTTCATAATTTGATCACATTTTAAGTCTCAGTCTCTCATCAAAATGTTGGTGGAAATGAATCGTGTGAATCACACAACATTGCATTTGTATTATATTTGTGCTCATTCCTTGCACTAAAAAGGACTTTACAAGTAAGGTGGGCAGAACATCTTCGGCATGGATTTTTGAGTCCATGTCCACCATTGGCATCATACCATAATGTCATAATCGAAGTTTCAAGCTTAGTGAGATTGTGGAATGTCTACACTTACAAATGTTGTTCTTATGTTTTAGAAGCTACCTGAATGCATTTACAATTTAATGGAATCAGGAAATCTAAAAGGATGGCTACCCCATTCCCGTCGCCTTTTCCTCTCCTAGTACTCAAAAGCGAGGCAGCTTGGCCTATTCCATAGCCTTGACAACAACCAAGGCGACGTTAGTCGCAAGCATTCCCTTTTCAGACTCTTCTCACCTTAGAAACAGCTTCAATACCTACAGAAAAACAACATTGAGATGTTTTGTAAATGACTTGAGTTATATCATTCCAGCAAAGCAAAAGGCTCGAGCTATTGTTTTAACGTTTTTAGTTTAGTAACACCATCTGTGGGATTAGGGATGTGAATTACGAGACCTCTTTAGGGTTTAGAGAAGAAATGTGGCTACATTCGCTGGTCAGATCATTTTACATTATTACTTAATTGCAAAGGCAAAACGGGGTGGAGGTTAAGCATCCACATGAAAAAGGGTGTTGTTTAACTTGGAGCACACCACACAGTGTTGCCTTCAAAGGCAGAAAAACTCTTCATAAATGCTCACTCAAACTCTCTGCTTTACTCAATTGAGGATGAGCCAAAATGTTCCCAGGACAAAGATTAGAAATTGTTGTTTGGAAGTTGATTCAGTTCAAAGTATATTTCCACAAAACAGAGGCCAAGGGAGGGTTGTTGAAATACTTCCCCCTCTTTGGAACTAATGATCAGATCAGAGCTCAACGTGACCATCACTGGATTCAGAAGGATTTTAAATCTTAGAATTTGACAATGTGACTGAGAATACATTTCAACAGAGAAACACACTATCAAACTAATTAAGCAAATCTCCTACGAATAATACACTTCACTATCAACTGCAATGGGGCTGTGAGAATAATCATGTGATGTGATTCATATTTCAACATATTGTCATTCACAATGAAAAATTCCTCATAGAAGCTCTTAACAGTTAAAAATAATAATTAATAAATAAATAAACTCATCCCTAGGACACATCCAATAAATTTTCCACCTTATTGTCAGAATTTGACCAAGATAGGACTTCTGTTAAGAAATAAGGAATTTTTTTTTCTTTTTGACATACAACTGTATTCCGAACCTCATTACACTTCAAGAATTTTCAAAATTTATAAGATAAAATATGAGAGTGAAAGCAATTGAAAATACCTTTCAGTTTTCATCTTGATCAGATGCAGTGTATGTACCACTTTATCTCAGTTTGAATAAAATACAAACGGTACTGCAAAAAGAGAACCCTTCATAAGCATAGTTTTATAGAACTAAAAGTACTAACACTTTTTTCATTAAAAAAAAAAGTACTAACACTTTCAAATAATTACGTCTAAATACTTGTAAGCCCATATCCTCTATTATTCAATAATGTCACTGGAAACAACAGAGATAAGACAGCATACAAGCTGGAAGCAAGTGAAGCAACATGATGTACATGGGCACTAGAAGTCATGAAATTTTATCATGTGTCCGCATAAACTAGACCAGAAACAATAATCTAGTGGCTGTTAAAAGGCTTTCCTGCTAAATATGACCAGCAGATACACAAATACCCAGAGAGTTCTGCTGCAATCAAGTCTTAGTTACAAAGGATGAGATCTGTTTGAAATGAAGGGCTGTATTCTTTTTGGGGAAAGAAATTGCACAAATTTGAAACATGAAATTATCACCAAAGTCTGATATGAAAACTCCTATTCTTGTTTCTGTTTATATTACATACATATAAAGAAATATATTTCTTAAACTGTTTCCTGACAGAGCCCAGCCTACAGCTAATATCTTCTACTAACTCATTTTAATATGTCATGTTGCCTGAGAAGGTTATAAATTAAAGCAATTGATTAAAACAGTTTGGAAAGTATTGACCATTTTCAGTTTAGTATATGGTATATTGACTTCTTGATGATTGAAATGCTTCAAGTTAAAGCAAATCAAGCTTACCAAGCAGGAAAACAGTGAGCATTAAACCAAGGGTAGCTTGAACAGAACAACGATTATGTAAGCGTAGTGGTGTTTGCCATTGTTTCTGTGGACTTTGTACTTGCTTCTGAGATGCACCGACCCGACCAAACAGCTGCATAAGACAATTTATAAGTTTTTCTTGGAATTAACAAACGATAATAATCTATCAACTGAAAGAAAGCAGAGGGGAGAGAACAAATAGAATATAAGAATCCATGATTGTTCTCTTCTTTCTCCTTGCATGTGTAAGATGTATCGCCTTTTAATCTAATGTTATAATCAATTCTTCCTTTCAAATATGTAACAGACTGACCTGGTTGAACAAATTAACTGCTGCTGTTACCTGATGCAATTGCGCACACCTTTGCTTCCAAAAGACAAGTTTGGATCCTTTTTCTTTAGGTGTGTCCTCGCACCCCGGAATTAGTTTTTGTCTGTGTTTAACTTCGTCAGCTATTATGATCCTCAACTCACCAAAATTTGGTGAACTGCATGCCTTCCTTGTACTAGTTGTTCTATCTGCATCATAAATTATATCATCCCTCATTCCTGCGATTTCTTTCCCCTTTACTTCCATGACAAAATTTGGATTCTTAGATATAGTAATAACATCTTTAACACCCTTTATTTCATCAGAAATGTCTCTGCTGCAGGCAGCATTAGATTTAAGGTCCACGTCTTTTCTTCTAAAGTCATTTTCCTCAGAGCTTTTCACAGAAGGTCCAAGTTCTACATATTCATTTTTGGCACATAGCATACTCTGGGGTGTCCCAGACAGAAATGCAGCAAAATCATCAGATTCTTCTTCATCCAGGTGTACCCATCGAAGGGGTTGCTTTCCTTCCACACTAAATGATTCCCTTAATGCTGTTTCAACATGAGAAATTTGATTTTCAATGGCAGCAATAAATTGTTTATGTCTAGCTGTTGTATGATCATCACCACGTTGTCCATAGCTCAACCTGACAGCTTTCTCGAACTCTTCCAACTAAACCAGCATTCACAATTCAACACAACAGAATTACAGTAAGTAAAATTGTAATATCGGCTAAACTGCTTGCAGACAAAACTTTCTCTGATTTCTAATTGGTATAATAAGGGAAACCAAATCAGGAAATTGAGTGCGAATGGATATTGCCACTAAAGAAAGTATATATCTCCATCTTAGGAAACTTCAGACAGTGCGGAATTTTTTCTTATCATCCAAAACAAAGGATACAATCACACTAACCCACTAAATTATAGCACTTATAAGCTATACTGAAAACCCACATAATTCTAAATATATGGTTTTAAAAAAAGGCAAAACCTTGTATATTTGTAAACAAATTATCTTTTATACAACACCATGAGAGCATATTTATCATAAATGTATCCAGAAGTTGAAAATGAACCCAATATGCATCACCTACATCATCAAAACTTTAAGAAGAAGGAAAAGGGGAAGAGAAAAAGAGATATAATCTAAAATACCAGAACCCAAAATCCCCCATTGAATTGAAACTCAAAACCAGCAGCACAACCACATAATTGAAAAATCTCCAACAAATTACACATCTTAAGAGCACTATGAAAGATATAACCCAATATGATCAAAACCAACGAAAAGCAAAAGGAAACGTACATATCAACTGATTCTTGCACCTCCTCAGCTGCAGGAAAGAAGACATCTTTTTTCCAAAGATCAAAACTGCTTGCCACCATCATCTTGACCAACACCGAAAACCCACAATCAATCAAAAGCAACCAAACCCAACTCCAGTCCGACCCTTAAAGCCAGCAGAAAAGCTCTAAAAATAATTTTCCTGTACAAAGCTTCAAAAAAATTTCAAATAAAACGTATTTCTTGCTGGGGCAGGTGGGTTTCTGTTTCTCGGCTGTCTCCTCTCGCCTCTTCTCTTCTTTGCTTCTCCCAAGCAAAGAAGGAAGAGAAAGAAAGAAGAGAGAGGGCTAACACAGACAGAGAAGTAGACGTAAAAGCGATCCCTATTATCTCTCTACTTTCTCACTACATTCTTTCCCTCTGTATCTTTGTGTGTTTCTTTCTTTCTTTCTTTTTTCCTTTTTTTTAACAATTAAAAATATTAAATAAGTTTTATGAGATAGAGCCGTGATCAGGTGCGGCACCCTAGAAAGCAGATGAAGTGAGGAACCACTGAGGTTTCGGCACGTTGACAGATTGGCATTTGGTCAACGACTAGGAAGTGTCTATTCGTTAACATAAGAAGAAGCTGTTTTTATTGGACTCAGAGGAGAAAAGTTGGGAAGAGAGTAAAAGATGGCGTCGGCGGTTGGAGACAAATGAGAAAAGAAGGGGTGGTGGGCTGCCCACTTGGCTACAGCCAATGTATGTTTTCTTATTGGGATGGGACCTTTGCCAGCTTAGACATCAACAACAAAATGGGTGATGAGTCACATTGTGCCACGTCATCCATATCAATTCTGCATCAACATTTGGAGGAATGTTTTGATTTTTTTTAGCCTTCTACTCCTTTGAAAAATACTACCACAAGTTCAAGCGATTAAGAGCAGTTATAATTCAAGCACTTAAGAGCAGTTATTCATGCACCTTAGGTCCTGTGTTTGAATATTTTAAGGAGTACATTTAACACAATCCATGAAATTAATAGTTCATTTACATGAGTTGTCTTATTCATTACTTGCTGAGGTGAACCATAATTGGATTGTCATTAGTGTTGAGGTGAACCATAACCTTTTCGCTATATCCAAAAGCCCAAGTTCGTCTCACTCCTATTATTTTTGTTTTGTTAATATTCTTTTGGTTAAAAATTCCAACAAGAGACGAAATCAAGTGCTGTTTTATCCTATACAACCAAAAAAACAAAAAAACAAAAAAAATAAAAGGTTAGAATTATATAATGAGGGCCTTCCTTTTTTTTTCTTTTTTTATAATGAGGGCTCCTTCTTAACTAAAGTCTAATAGAAAAACTACAAAATAAGTATTTATAATATTCGTATTTGAAATATCTTTTAATTAAGTGTATATTATAAATCAATTGATTAATAGCTCGTTTGTGAGTGATTTTTGATAAGCCAATAATCAATTCTACAAAGAATCACTTCACATGGTTCTGCATAATCACTTAAAACCACTTAAAGTGATTATATGAAGAAGCACGTGAGAGATGTCTTCTCCCCATAAGTGATTTTGGCCTTCTCAGAATCACTCCCAAACGAGTCTAAGGATGACAGGTATAAAAATCATTTTTATGAGAATAAATGGAAATGCCTTATTTTGACATAAATTAGAATTTGTCTTTGAATTGCTTAAATTGAAAACCACATGGACAAAATTAATCAAATTGAAACGACAAGAACCAACGTGACAAAAGTGACAAACTACAAGGACCCAAAATAACTTTTTACCATTATTTAAAGGACTTTATATTCCACGCCATTTTAAAAGTAATTAATCATCATCATGATGTAATGAATTGATCATAGGGAAGGAAACACGTAAACATCATATTCAACATAAAAATCACAACCTCCTTAACCACCACTTTAACTACCATTTCCTTATTCAAACTTCTCTTACTTTTGTTTTGACAAAAAATCTGCCTTAATTATATTTATAATTAATATTACTTAGTAACAAAACTAACGTTAGTTATGGCTGCTAGCCTACCTTTAACCCTTTTCATTTATCTTTATATTTTTTTGTTATCTTAATTTCAAGGGTGAATGTGAGTGTGGCTAAAAAATATTTTGGACCAAGGTTGCACTAGGCTACAATCCAGGGCAACCTCCATGTAGTTATGCTCTTGTTCATATGTCTATTCTAATAAAGTGTCACAGCAAACATCAATTTGCCAAAATCTAGAGTTCGAGTGCTATAATCGTAGAACATAGATAGTTATATCGTGATAGGGCATCGAGTGCAAGAACCCTAGAACGTATGTCAATGTCACTATTCTGCTTTATTAGGATTCATTGTATTACAACTTTGTTGTATGTTTAGTTATTATTGATTGAATAAAATTTAAGTCAATGTCACTATTCTTATTCTTTTGCCAAGTTCGGTAGATAATTTTGGCATGGCCAAACGGTCATGTAAAACCATTGAGCTGTACCTATTTTTCTAGAGTTGATTCGGGAAGAAAGTATATAATATTTAAATATTTATATACTTCAATTATTAATGCGAAACGAGTTGCATGTGGAATATAATCTTGAAATTAAGTCCTTCAAATTTGTGGAGGCTAATAAGAGCCATTTAACTCATTGCATCTTATACATAATTTGGAGGGTCATTCTTTAAAGTTGTAAATTAATGGAAGGCTCTGAGTCAAACGTTGGCATCCTTATCTCATTCCAAAAAGTATACTTTTGCCCTCCTACAATAATATAAAATTGACAAGAATACACTGACCACATTCAAAAAGCAATGTCCATGCCTTTGTTTTCTTTCGTTTTTGGCCCTTCATGATTCTTCTTTTCAACCCACCTCCTCCCCACCAAATACAAAAATCACAAAATATAGATTTAGTTGAGGTAGGGATATTATACAAAAAACAGCACAATGACAAGCATAATTGCTTTACCAAAGTAATATTCTATGCTCAAGCAGCTCATTTCATACAATGAGGACAAACAAAATTCTGTCAATTTGTCAGCTCATATTGACAGATCATTGACCTTGTGGCCTAAATTTGATCACTAGTTTGGTTTGGTATATTCTCTACTAAAACAGAATTGTGCCCTATCAAAGTTGTACACTAAAAAGCTTTCTTATTTGTAAACTTATATCTGCTTTGAGCCTGGAGTGTCCTCAGCCAGGCATTTAGACAATTCATCTTTCACCAGTTTCAGGCCACAATAACATGAAGTTAAAACTGAAGAGACAATACTTCTTTGAATATCTTTGAACTTGATTGCCAGCTTTACATCCCAATTAGTGTTTTTCCTGCAACAAAAAAAAGAAAAGAAAAAAAGATACACATTCTCATTTCAACAAAGGAAAATTTCTGCCGCTTCAATCAATCACAGATTCACAGATTATGTGATAAAGTGTTAGGAGACTTTACCTGTCATCAAGGTCTGCATCACCAAGATTATCCATCATGTCATCACAGATGGCGCGAAGATCTTCAAGAATTTCAATTTCATTCTTCAAATTTTCCGGCAGCTGTGAAATAAAGAATTGGAAGTTCATATATGAGAATATTGAATCGACATAAAAACCGAATCAAGAAAGAAATTTCAAACTAAAGCTAAACAATATTGGAAAGAAAATGCAAATCTGAAAAATATTTTTTTTGTTCTTAACACACAAGAGTAATGTGAAAGTAATAATAGCATTTCATTAGAATAGATCATACACAATAATAAATTCCATTTCCTAATGAAAAAGATTCAAAAGAAGATGAAGATGAAGTCAACCACTATAACATAAATAAGCAAAGAAAATTACTAGGTCCTTAGTATGCGGCATGGGGCTTCGAGCTCTCCTTAGGCAGTCCAAGAATGGGGAAGGCAGGCCGTAATAGAAAATATTGCAGTTATGTGATAACCAAGTAGCCCGCACCATGTGAGTAGTCCAGTTCGATATGGAGCTGCCTTCAGTAAAATCATCTTGGGCAGCATCAATATCTGCATGGGAAATGTTACTAGTTAATATTTGAGAGCACAAGTCCTCGACAATTTTTCAACAACAATACAATGGCATGTTGAAGATATATCAGGACTATGCCACGTTTGGTACTGCTTGATCAATTGTAAAAAATATCCATGAGTGAGATAGAGCAATAAAACTCACCTAGAGGAATGACATCATATAGGTTGTCACCTTGAGGTACAAAGCCATAGAACGTAATTAGATGAGAACTAGAGAAGTTTCCGTAACTAAGACAGCATTCTTGCCCTGCATTGCATGGTCTTGATAGACGGAATTTCAAGGTATTTGTTGCAGAATCTACTCTGCCATAGTGCACTACATGGGGGTCTAGCTGTGATAAGGCATAAAGCAAAAACATGACTACAGGATATCACATTGATATGAACTCAAAGTTTTTTTTTTCAATGACATGAACCATTACAAACACATCTTAATTAAACCCAAAACTGACTGTCCAGAAAGTAGATAACACAAGGTCATTCTTGTCCTTGTAACCTCTTAGTTTCTACAATATAAAGAAACTGTTCTGGAATCTGGCAACCAATTCAGAAAAGTACACTCGGAAGATGGTTATGATAAGTTGTTGGAAGAAATTCTCAGTATATTTTAAACTTTTATTTTATCTCAACAATCAGGATAAAATGTTGGGGCACAAAGAAAGGGTGGCATACCGAATGGTTCAAGAAGCCAGCAATGGGAATCAAGCATGTTCTCAGCTTTCCATCAGGGAACTTGATTTTCATGCTATTTGAGTACCACAGTTCACATGCCCACAAGAATTGCTCCCATGTGTAAAGCTCTGGTGGAAAGATATCAGGATGATCTTCGCACAGTGCAGGGAAGAGATCATCATATTGAGCACGCAAATGCTGTGACAAGAAAAGGACTTAGATGCTTAATGTTTAATTACTAGTAAGCTTTTCCTTTCAATAAAGTTTATATATATATATAGGTATGAGAAAGTTCTATGATGAAATCCTATCAGAAACTTTAAAAAAAAGGAAAGAAACGGGATGCAAATACAACATTCCATTCTTAGTTTATACGAAAGTGAGAGATCAAATATTTCAATGGCAATTGGAAAGGTATTGGCTGGAGGCTCCATAATTGATTTGGGCATCTCCATGTTCTTCCTGTATTTACTAACTCATTCAGGTTGGGTCAGACCTTGTTCTCATAGTAGATTTGTTATTGGGCAGCATTCTCTATTAAAGATTACTTGAAAAGGCAACATATAGAATAACTCAAGACCAGGTACAAATAATCAAATCCTACTTTTATAAATGGGAAAGACAGCAAACAAGCAACATTATCAGCCAAGAATGTGAACTTCAATATTCCCCAAGATGCAAACAATCTTAGAGAAGAAGAGTAGAGTAGGAGTGTGATCACTGCAGAGTGTAGGACCTTTGAGAGAACTC